ATCCACTTAATATATATATATATATATATATATATATATATATATATATATAAAATATGCCAACTTGCTTTTGACTATTGTTACACAAATTGTACAGTATATTATCATTTAACTCTCTCAGACTGTTCATTTTATGACGAGCATTTACAATGATTATAATATATGAAGAAGATGTGTCCACCTGCGTTTCAACATAGAATATAATATAGCATAATGGTAATGCAACTCAAATGCATAAGATGTTGACTTTCGAAACACTAACATTTATTGATGTGTATATTTTGGCTACTCCTGTATTCTTTGTAAATGCTTGTTATATATATTTATATATATATATAGGCCTATAAAGTGATATTTAAAACACCTCAATCACTTTACTGGCTATAATTCCTGGGGCTGAAGATCATCAGGCAGAAAACATTTAATTAACCAACAATATACAAGGAGATTAAACACTGTTTTCCTTCATCTATTTAAGATAGTATAATACATACTCCAATTATAAAAATGCACGCCATCCTGTCGGGATTTAATATTTCGACATTAATTATGTCATCATCATTCCTGATGATGACATAATTAATGTCGAAATATTGAATCCCGACACAATGGCGTGCATTTCGATACTTGGAGAATGTATTATACTATCTTATCTGAGATTAATCAGTGGACCTTTCGGCTTCCTTTATTTATTGCAACAGAATACAAACATTAACAGAATACAAACGCGAAATAAACAATACACAAGTTTAAAAATTAGGCCAGGGACATCTGAAGTAAAGAAATTACTTTGTACATTTAATTAACTAATTAGCTTTACATTGACAATTAGAAAGAAAAAATATTTGTATACATAAAACCATTCTTATAATTATATTCTTTGCATCCATTAGAACTGGCTGTTTTTATACACTGACTTAAGGATTGGAGGACATGCAATACTAAATATATTCAAATTAAAATATATAACATAAAATACATAGTAGAAAACCAGGATTAAAACCACCCTCTACCACCCAAACATCATAATGTTGGTGAATTTTTGTGTAAACACCAAGATACCCCACAAAAATCTGAAGACTATTTCCGGCGGGGTCCTTCTGGTGGTAATTGGGCAGTACAATGGGAGACAATCCCTTACTCTTTTCCAAATAGTGTACTGCGCGAGGCCATAATGCTTACGGGACCAATGGCTTTTTAAAAAGACGGTGAACTATCGTAACCTGCATTCAGATCTCCAGCTGAAACACAAGCAGAAATGATGGGAATTGAACCGGGGACCAAGAGGTTTTCTTAGTTCAGCGCACAACTAGTGGCTACCACCAGTTTAGTCAACTGAACTAAACTGCTCAGTAATAAGACTTAATTTATACAGAGCCCAATTTCACCTCTTTGAGGTTCAAGTCACTTGGTTACTCATTGTTTGACAAAACTGAACTAAAAACAAGAAATATTTTCAACAAAATAAAATGTTTTGGGAATGAAACAACAATTAAAAAGTTTATAAAGCCAAACTTTTGGAACTGAATTAGCAAAAAAATCAAAATGGAAAAAGCTAATAGTAAAACATAACCATGAAAATGAAAGCATTGATATTTCATGTAAATCAAACTCACAAAAGTGGACACAAGCTGCATGCAAAACTGATTTAAAATGTATGCGATTTTTAACTCCTCTCTCTCCACCCCTCACCCCAAGTAAATGAATTCAGCAATCTCCTACCACTCCCTGTGACACCGGAATCATATAAACTCCAATGAGAATGTCCAGGCTGGCACCTCGTTTTGAGTGCTTCTAGATTTGGAAAAAGGTTTGGAGATGCCGCTTTCTTTGCTTTGAGCTCTTACTTCCTTTAGTTAATTTATAGATGATATTTTATGATTTAGTTAGTGTAGCTTCTTTCTATTTTTATATATCAAGGATTATGCTAACAATTACACAGAGACAGTAAAAAGCACTCTACTGTCATTACCACGTAAGAAGATAACATAATAACCAATTAGGCCACGTCAAAAAATACATTAGTTTCTGGCTCTATTTCGCTGCCGCATTGATTTTTTTCCCAGTACTGCAATTCCTCTTAGTGACTCGAACAGCATACTAATAAAGTTAATTTCCATATTTTTCTACTTTGGCCAATGTAGATATAACTATTCAACATTACCAACACCGTTT